AATAGGTCATGAAAAAACTTTTAATCAATTAATAATGATAGTATTTTAAATAATAATTTTAAGCGACAAAAATATAACCTCCATAATTATTGAATTTTGTTCTATTTGTGTTATTAAATGAATTAACTCGTCTTCAACGATTTAAAGATACAATGAACATATTAGTTGAAAATGCAAAGCTCAATCAATGTCATTAAATTGAAAGAGTTAATGGAAGATGAATATGAAAAATAATATTTAAATAAAGTAAATTATAAAATGAGAGACGAGAATAATATTTTATTACTTTTATAATCTACAAACAAAAAAACATATAATAATAATATAAAAAAAACCCCCCTGTTTTCCGTAATAATTCTAGAAAAAAGAAAAAAGACAATCAAAAGGTGGCCGCCACGTGAAGCAGCCACATGCATACGTACGCCCATACGCATACCACCTTAATTTAACTAATCATTTTAATATTATATAATCTCATTTGAAAAAATCATTCACCTTTATCAATTGCTCACGTTCTTACTTTGCTATACATTTTTATAATATATAAATATTATTCCAAACAATATGACAAAACATTAGGTTACTCGACCATTTTATGTCTTGTCCACCGTACAATTTATATTATGCGGGCCCACGTTTCAAAGTATTGGGCCGAAGGGGATGGGTCAAGCCCAAAGACAAGAAAGCCCAGCCCAGCCCAGGAAGAGAAAACGTGTAACGTGACGCGATTTTAGAGAGAGAAAGGAAGATAACGCGGCTGACTTTGAGATGTATTTTGAAAAACAAGGAAAGAAAATGAAAGGAAATCAAGTCCAAAACGCGCAAAATCGACAGAAAAAAGTAATTTATAATTATGTTTTTTTTTTCACTCTTTTATTCGAATTATCTAAGAAACTATGTTTAATTAGTGTAATTATAAACTTAATTATATGTTTAATTTATTTTAAAATACAATTAGCGAAAATTGTTAAGGTTGGCTCCAACAATAAAAATTAAAAAAAGGAGAGAGAGAGAGAGAGAGGGAAGGAGGAGAGAGAAGGACATTGACAATAACAGAGGCAACAGAGGGATTCCCCTCCCCACAAGAGAATGAGGCGAAGACCTTCTCTGTTCCTCTACTACCGAACACAAATCTTCAACTCTGCTCCTTAATCTCCCAATTTCACGCTTTATCTTTCTCTTTTCTAGTTCCTAGGGTTCCATTTGCCCCTCAACTACAAGGTTCTAGGGTTCTGAATTGGGGGTTTTCATTTCTGAGAGATGTGGGATGCTCCGGGGATTGATGAATCTGCTCTCTCTTTGTTGGAAGCCATTCGGGCGTGGTGGTGAAAATTTGAGCTCTGTTGGAGTCATTGGAACCAATTGCGGTGGCAAAGATTCTAAGGATACCTTACTCTGGTTCTATGATTATGGCAAGTATGCTTCCGGTGATTTTTCCATGGCCGTCGTTCAGGCCAACCAGGTGCTTGAGGACCAGAGCCAGATTGAATCTGGTCCTTTTGGTACCTTCGTCGGAATCTACGATGGCCACGGCGGCCCCGACGCCGCTCGATATGTCTGCAACAACTTGTTTAGGCGTTTTCGGGGTTCGTCATTTTCCACTCCCCTTCTTTTCTGTAACTCTTGTTTACTGTATTTACTTATGAGTTATGATGATGACGATTCTTCCTCTTCTCCTCTAGTTTTCAACGGCTCGGGTTTATCTGTTGACTTGGATGTGAGCTTTTTACTTTGTGCCGTATTTCTTACTCATTATCACTGCTCTTACTGATCCTTAGATCCATTGTCTTTTTCTTTCTTTTTTGGATTGCTGATTTTTCTTTTTTCATTTTCCCCTTGGAAATGGATTGCTGTTTGCTCTTGATTGGTGTTCTCGAGTTTCGAGTAAATTATAGCTTATGCTGTTGGGGAAGATAGAGGTAGCTAAATACAATGCAATTTTTGGTTGGGTTTTGTTTGAAATTGAATACTGTAGACACAGGATTCCTCTGACGGCTGATGATACTATAACTTCGCTCGATGTTTTGAGCATGTAGTCTAGAAAAAACTATGCAAGATTTCCAATAAACACTATTCGTTGTGTGTTCTTTGATTACACATGACTTTGTATTGTCTTTTTCAATATCGAAAAGGAAAAAGTGCCGAACTTGAAAAATCTGAAACGTGTTCCTGAATGTTCAACTTTTCTATTTAATTGTTTCGTTCCTAAATAAACAGGCTAGGTTGACATTCTTGAATTTTGTATGCCACAATTGCAGATGAAGAACAAGGAGTTGTGACTCGTGAAACCATCCTGGAGGCATTTCGTCGAACAGAGGAAGGGTTTACAACCGTCGTGTCAGAGTTGTGGAGTACTCGACCCGAGATTGCAACAGTTGGGACATGCTGTCTAGTAGGGGTGATACATGAGCAGACACTCTACGTGGCGAGTCTTGGAGATTCTCGTGCTGTGTTAGGGAGGAAAGTTGGCAACACTGGAGAGATTGCTGCCATTCAGTTATCAACGGAGCATAATGCAAATCTTGAGGATATAAGGCATGAATTAAGAGATATGCATCCAAACGACCCTCAAATTGTGGTTCAAAGGCGCGGAGTTTGGAGAGTGAAAGGCATTATACAGGTAAAAATTACTGTTTTGTGTCAGTTTAGACCATCTCGTATCTTGTTGACTTCCTCCTATTCAATTGTTTTTCATGTTTTCACTTTCTCTATTATAAATTGTAGTTTTTAGGTATATCCTGTTTACAACTTTAGGAACTGTCTTCGTGTTGATAGGATCGCTTGTATAAGATGATTTAAGTTTCGGATTATGTTACATAAAGGGGTGGAGATGTTGTAACCTTTTCCCCCACTAAGTTTTTTGAGCTTCTACATTCAGAGTGTGGGGGAACGATACTCAGTGTATGGTGGTCATATTTCAGAATTCCGGGTATTTCCCGGTACCACCCGAGCTTTCATCCTGCTAGTTTTTATCATTTTAGTGTATCTGAGGCAACCGACCTGAATCTGTGCGCGGTTGCCTTGGTTCTGGACCAGTTCTGGACCATCTTTTAAGGCTTGCAGTCAAGGTTTTCTTTACGTTTAAGCTGGGATGAGATCTATTCGTTTGTAACTATCGTGCAGGTTTGAGGGTAATAGAGATCCTTAGTATAAAAGTGTTGCTGTTTTCTTTATCAGATCAACCACACTCTTGCATGCCGTTCTTGTAGGTTGTGAGAGCACCCGCACCCTTTGATCACTTTGATGTTCTGTGCCGTTTGTTTCTTTTAGTTCAATTTCTTAACTGGCCGTTTTCTACAAAAGGGTTTTTTTTTTTTTTTTTTTCTTTTCTCATTTTCAGTTCATTTTTATCAATGTGAATAGTGATCATATGTTCAAAGTTTGTGATAATATCTCATGCAGGTTTCTAGGTCCATTGGGGATGTCTACATGAAACATTCTCGGTATAATACTGACAGAATCAATGCTAAATTTAGACTTCCTGAACCGATGAATATGCCTATAATGACTGCAGTACCCACGATTCTTGCTCACCCTCTTCATCAAAACGATTCTTTTCTTATTTTTGCATCCGATGGACTTTGGGAACACCTAACCAATGAAAAGGCTGTGGATATTGTCCACAATCATCCTCGTGCAGTAAGTTTCCCTCCACCTTCCATTCTTTAGTCATCATAGAGAAAAAGTTTCAAATTATGGTGACTACCTATCTGAGCTTTAATATTCTACCAATTACTTTAATGTTAAACTGGCTCGGATACTTACCGTGTTTTTGTTATGGTGCGAGCGATGTGTTAGGTTCGAGCTATCTTTTAAAACTTTAATTGTTTGCAACGATTTTCGGAAACACATTTGATGGGTCATCTTTGCCATTGGCTTGATGCAGGGAAGTGCAAAAAGGCTTGTGAAGGCAGCCCTTCAAGAAGCAGCTAGGAAACGAGAGATGCGGTATTCAGATCTTCGAAAGATCGACAAGAAGGTTCGGCGTCATTTTCACGATGACATTAGTGTTGTTGTTTTATTTTTCAACCACGACCTTATATCCCGAAACCATACCCTCCTAGATCAGCCATTATCAGTCCGAAGTGCCTTCGATCATTGATTCAAATTTTTGTTGCTAAAATATCAACAAAGGAAAAGGAAAAAAGAAAGAAGAAAAACCTTGTAATTTGAACCTTAGATACATCCCAATGCGTCGTAGAGAGCTTCTCTGATACGAAGAAACATATTGAAGACTCTTCAAAAGTCTTTTTTTTTTTTTTTTTTTTTTTTTCCCCTTATATATATATATATATATATATATATATATTATATTTAACTTACATTTGTAGAACCCAGATAGATCTTAAAGTTCATCTGGACCGTTCATTTCATTCACCTAAAAATTTCAGTTACACAAATTGTCTGATGTTCGGTTGTATTTCTTAGGTATACTTTGCATGATCCGAATAAAGTTTTGTAACTGGTTTTATTTAAAAAAGAAAATGGTATTTATTTATTTATTAATTATTATTATATAATAATGTTGCATTTACAAATACGAGTTACTTACGATACTCATGATATTGGTTGACGATGCTGAGGTTTTGTTGGATTATCATCTCTCCATAATATTCTATTTTATGTAATATTTAATATATTCGTGGTTTTATTTTAATCATTTTAATTCCTGGAGATGGCGTTACTGTTGCCAGGTTGCTTTTCTATTAATTATACACGCGCAAATGATTTGATTATTTTAATTCACTAATATTGCTCAGTGGTACCATCATTTCTTCTCTATTTATCAAATTTCAAACCATAGACTATACATTGGTTCATTTACATGTTTATTAATTTGGAAAAAATAATATTAATTAATTTTATATTCTCCATGAATTTTAATGTAATATTTAGTAAACATAACTTAATATTCTATGCATGTCTCACACATGCACGCTAATTTTATAATTAACACACAAAAATAAAACTAAAATAATTAGGAAAAAGTCACTCGAACATATAATATATGATCACCAACTTTATATATTAATCATACCACCCAAATCATTTAACATAACATAAGATTTTTAATACATTATATTTTTTCACAACACACAACAAACAACCAAACATCACTGTGTGAAACGCCGAAGCTTACCCGTCTCAGACATTCCACTTTATTACAAGAGAAAAACATTATTTTTTTTCCTTTACAATTCACAAGCTGAGATGACGACGATGATGGTGATCGGGATATATTTTTTTAGGGTCTGTATGGCTTCTCGCTTGAGAAGTAACGGTGAGTTTCGGTATCCGAACCCTTTCCGTAGTTTTTATAACCAAGATTTTCATCGTCCTCATCTTCGTTGTTGTTCATGCCAACGTCAGCATCTTCAGAATCATTCACACCACCAAACACTCCCGTTTCAGGGATTTGACCACTAAATCTTTGAGCTAGCTTACGCGCATCTTTCTTCTTAATCACGCTGTGCATGGTCGCATCTGTAAACACGAGCAGCAAGAAGACGGCAAAGAGAAGAAGGGTCCTCTTCATCATAGTCATCACAAAAACTGATAAAACGAAGCCAAAAACGACACTTATTTAGACGACGAAAAATAAGAGGGACAATTAGGGATGGTTTTGATTAGAACTTACCTTGTATTTGGTTGTGAATGGGAAGGCAATGAAGAACATGGTATGAATGAGGAAAAAATGGAGCATATTTATAAAGGCAAAATTGAGGCCACTGTGTTGAACACTGCAGAGGTATATATAGCAACAAAAGATTCTAAATAACGTCTTGAAAGCACAACTTTGTGGAGACATGCAGGAGAAATAAAAAGTGCGGTTTCTAACCGCAGTGGAGATACCATAAATGTTTGTCGCCTCACTACAAGGCGTGTTAAAAAGATATTTATAAAATATTAAATATTTGGTAACTTACGGACCCAACCCAACTCATCAATACCCGAACGAGAACCTTAATGAATAAGTCGAAGAATCTTCAGGTTGGACCCAACTCGTATGTAGGGCTTGCTCGAAAAGGTTCGCTCGATGGTACCATATTAGTCAGTATGATCATATCATTCGAACAATGTTGAAAGTTGAGGATCAAACCACCCAGTCAGGTTTGGTCGAGCTATTTTTTTTATCTTATAATATTTTATTTAATTAATATATAGATATTATAAATACAACTAATTTTATTATCTAAGGGGGAGTATAATATGATAAAGATGGCAATTATAATTGAGGGATAATAAAATGTTAATTATATAAAACGGATTATTCAAATTCAAAATATCTTTTTTTTTTCCAATAAATTTATTAAAAGAAAAAGAAATGCGTGGGGCAGAGGGATGGCATACCACACAAACCACTGAAGAAGAGGTAATTATGATTTAGGGTTTAATTCCCACTTATTTAAGTTTCAACGGTTTAATAATTAAATCACGAATTTTATTTTTTAAAATATATTTTAGGGAATTCAATTGGTCTTTTTAAAATTTTAAATTTTTTAATATACACAATATCTCTACCGTGATGATAATTTCGTGGTTAATTTCCATTTTTTTTTGTGCCTCTTAAAAATAAATGTGGGCCTCCACTTTCTGGATGGACAGTATCCATTGGGCCTTGTAAATTGGGCCCAAAACAAAACAAGAGCAAGCCTTTCTATCATGGCGACAAATCCATAAATTGCATGTTCGATTGCATTCCGTTGGTTTCTCTGTATCATGAGCTCCATCATCTCCATTGGCGCCAAAGATTAAGTTTAGAAGTTCCGGAACTTTTCCCGCGGTATCAAGATGGAGAAAAGGACGAAAGAATACCAAACTCCTCTGAGAGATCAAGCTGCGAATCGTAGATCAAAGAAGCCTCTGAAGGTACAGTTTCTTTTGTCGGTTCTTCTCATCTTTCTCATTCTCTAGCTTAATCTCTTGTTCGTTCTGCTGCAATTAAGATCACCAAGAGTTTGACTGCCACATTTTCATCATTTTGCGACGATAAAATCCAGCCAATTTTGAAGGAAGACTTTTCTCCGATTTCCGTTGTCTCAAACATCAGTCAAATTCCTGATATCGACAGTGTAAGTTCCGATTCATTTGTGATTTTTGGACGATCTGTTCGATTTAACTTTTCATTTTTGCTGTGTCTCCGTGCTGTATCTGCGTTATTTTTTATTTCTTTTATTAGTTGATCTCAATTTGTGGCCCATTCATACTGAGAAGAAGATTTGTTATCTATTATTTGCTCAACTCATATTCGTTTTTTTTCTCCGCCTATAATCTACTGCGACTAGAGTGTTCACTTTGAAATTTAATGTATGGTCAAGCAACGACAAAGTATATTTGATTTATGGCACTGGAATATGATTGATTTCAAAATTTTCTGGTTTTCTAAGTCAGTTTTCTCTATTTCAGAGTTTCTTGCAAGATGTCAATCCAGCTCTTTCAGTTTCCTGCGAGAGCTCGCTTTTCCCCGAACTTTCTCCATCTTCAGTTGTTACTTTTGACAATAAGCAGCTTGACAAGGTTCCAGTTAATTTTGGTGGATCTAATAATTTAGATGAAGCAAGCGCGGGTTCAGTGGAGGCGGAGATTGCCGTGAATTACTTAAGGCGTGCTCTTAGTCAAGTCTTGCAATCGACGGATGTTGATCATCAGTCTAAGAAGCTGATAGATGCATCCGTGAGGATCATTGTGGACGAATTTCTCGCCATACCTCAAGAGAGAGACCTGATTACTCGGCTTATTTCTTCCAAAAGTCATGTTCTGTCTCTAGGTTTATTCCTATGGATCATCGTCTTGGTATTGGCTTTCTTTTCTGGTTCGGGAGTCGAGAACTGTTTCATTGGTCCACTGCCAACTTAAACTTGCGAAGATACTCCTTGATCTAACATTAGAGGTTAGATCTTAATCGATTTTTTTTCATGACAGGTATATATGCCTTCTTATACTTCGATACCTTTGAATTGGACTGTTTCATCTTCTTACATTAGAAACCTGCTGAACCGTGAAAGTTTGTTGTCAAAAGTTAACCGTACATTAGCCTCGCATTTGGCATACTATGATTTAATGTTTGATATTTTCATAAACCTGTGGGTGAACATATGGTCTTCATTTTTTTTTAATCCTTTACGCGTTATGATTTACTGGCATAACTGCTTATTAGTCAGTCTTCACTCTCTTATTTAACTGAAGCGAATATTTAAGTGTGTTTTCATTTCCATAAGTTATATTCTGCGCGACGAAATCAGGACAGATTCTTTTGAATTCGAAACTACGACGACATGACTGAGGGAAGATCCAAACTGCTCTGAATTCTTGAAGATCTAGTTGCAGTGATGAAGAGTCGGGTCTGATTTGCTATTCAACAACGATTTATGGTAAACAGAAAGGTATGTGCAGCTTTCTGAGTATTTTGCATACAATCCAGCATTATTGCATTGTTTAGCAACTCCTTTCTGGAGCACCATATCATGCTACTGTAAGATGTATTTTCTTTACAAAAGAGGATGACTTAAACAACCAAGTCATATGACTGATTGGAGCGATCATGTTAGTGGTTGGCACATCCTGATACTGATATGACAAGATCACAGCCAGTTAAATGCAAATTTGGTAAAAGAAACGTTTTAGATTTTTCCATGAAAGAAATAGATTGGAATTAATTATTTCGAAGGCATAAATGTATTGTCGTATATTTTTCGCAACTCCTATCTGGTGCATCATATTAAGCATGATATTATAGAATGTATTTTCTCTACAAAAGATGATGACTTGAACAGAAATAACATGACTGATTGAAGAGATCATGTTAGGGTTTGGTATATCCTGAGATGATAATGACAAGATTGCAGCCAGCTAACTGTGGATTTAGTAGAAAAAAAACTTCGGATTTTTCTTAGAAGAAATGGATTGCAATTTAGTTTTTGTAGGAGGCACAAAAGCTTCCTATAAACCTTTATACTGATTCCATCTCGTAATTAGAAATCTTCAGTCAATTACTCGTTTACTACATTGAACAGAGTTCTGGTTCGCTCTCTGATGGTGGTTAGATTTGAACTTAAATGACTTGTTTCTTACGCCAAATGAACACTGTGAGAAGTTCTGATTGGCTCAATGATAATTGTTTGTCACCTATAAATGATGAGGCTAAATTTTAGTGGCTAAAGTCACTAACTTCCAGGATCTCAATGCAGGACATATGCATGTTACCCTACCAAAGAGTAGATAATGATAAAATGCAGCTCATTTGGGTGCCTTTTTCTATTCAGAAGCAAAATAATAATTTTCTAATCAGATGGGATATGTTTTATGTCCATAAGGTTGAATAGTTTTGGCTAATTCACACGAAATTCTCCAATGGGAAACCTTGACCACCTACATGTACTTCATTGAAAAGATTTGTTCTGTCGTACTATACATAGAAACAGATGAAGATTTTCAGTTGATTTTGGCTCAGCTGGCCTCCTGGTCTTTCAGTCTCACAAGTTTACCCTTTGAGTCAAAAGATTTTCTTATGGAAAAGAACAGTATTTACTAATTATCATAAAAATCTCATAGGTTGACATTTTCAACATGGTCATATTATTCCTTCCCACTCCTCAGCATGTCTTGTTCTTAGGCTTCAGCGTAAAAGAAAATTTTTAGTACAGATGATTTGTACCATCATTATTTTGTAATGGGTTTTGCAGATTGCTTATTTCAATAAATGTGAAGGCAAATGACAACCAGCCAGTGGCGTCCTGACCACCAGCCTTTTTTCTGATGACCCGCATGCATGCAGCTGCCAGGTATGTGTATAGCTCATATTTATCTATCATCTTTAATTGATTTTTCCCCCTCCCCAATGTGATTGGCTTTGGCATCTTCTTTCTGGTACTCTGTAATCTATTAAACCTTCCGGCCCTCGCTACTTCATTGTGTCTGACACGAAGGACGCAACCTTCCTCTTAATCATAATGGCTCTCAGAGTAAATTAATCTTTAGCTATACTTTTAAGGTTTATTCGGTGGGTTGTTCTCGTGTATTGCTTACACATGGTCACAATGATTATGGTTGAGAAAGAGGATTAGGTTCATGATTATCAATTCTAATGTATAATATTCAGAATGTGAAAGCCTAGGGCGTGCTACCATTATTAGGCCTTTGAATTTTTGTTGGTGGAATGCTGACATGACCACCAAAAGAATGGCTGACCGGGAGGAATCTGATAGCCGAATTTGGAGAAAAGAGTTTAAATTCCTAAAAACTTAATGCTAGTGTTATAGAAAGTGTTCATTCATATTTAGTCATGCTAGGATCTTTGAACAAACTACGAGTAAAATGGTGGGGTAGCTCTTTAGCAAATATTTGTACCCTTCTATAAAAAGTGAGTAAAGTATGCTTTTCTTATTCTTTTTTTAGTTCAACCAATACAAAAATGTAATGTTAAATGAGGTTGCAATAGTAGAAAAGATAATAAATAGATAATAGATGCATTGCTCATGTACCTCAATCATGTTTGGACATAAATCAGTCCGTTGATTTTGTTCTATATATATATCTAGAATTTACTAACACTGTTTTATTAGTTTTGTTGTAGAAATTAAACTGAATTGGTCTAATCTTAAATCAATTTTGTGGATCAGTAAAGAACCTAAAGCTAACTTGTGGTACATGGGAATGGACGTGTACGGACAAAAAGATTCACTACAGCTTTAAATGCAATACATTGAAGACTCAGATGGCAAAGGTACACACAATATCCTACTCACACTCCCACATGAAGACTATAGTGAAATTGACATCTTTCCACTGAAAAAGAAAAAGAACGGAAAGATAAAAGTGGATAGAATCTGAAGACTAAGATGATGTTTAAAAGGTTAAAATGGACTAAAATAAATACACACTTAGGATTTTTTTTTTTTTGTTAAAACAATGTATTTATTTCATACAATAAATGAAAGAATATAGTGAAATATTGTGACATATAAATGTAACAGAAAATTCAGACGGAACTGGGTGGGGCTTAAAGTCAACCATGTGGAAATGCGTTTTCCCCGATTGATTGATTGATGGATGCATTGAGTATCCATCCAAAGTTTGTAAGTCTGTTCATCGCACGCGTGTACATTTTGCATTGGACGCCGCTAGTTCATACCTATCATTTTCGGTTAAAGGTTTGATATTCCTTCGTAAGGCTTATTTATTTATTTATTTTATTGGAAAAAACGAATTTTGTTGAACTAAAACGAAAATATTAAAAAACCTCATATTTTTAGATTAAAGGGAAAATACCCCAATTATTAACCAAATCAATTTAAATTAAGAATGCTTCCTACAAATAAACCTAAGGGAAATTATACTGTGTAAAGTTGTAATTTTGTATATCTAATATGTAGCTATTTTCAACCAAACTAGTTACTTGATTGGTTGATGTTTCAAAAATAGTGAACAAATGTCACAAATATAAATAATCTAAGCTCACTTGATCTACCTTCACTCTCATAAGAAAAACTACATACGGAAAAACTACTATTTTTTTTTTATAGGCAAGTATTGAAATTGTCGATTTTTTTTGGACTCAATTGTCGAAAAATTGTCTATCGTCTTGTTGAAGTTGAGTGGACTGGAAAATGTATAGAGAGGACGTTGGTGTTGGGCACAGCCTATATGCACCAAAAATTGGAGGAATTATTTTAACACTCGGAAAGGAAAAGGAAAGAAAATTTATTTTATTTTATTTTTATTATTTCCTTTAAAGGTAAATAAAGGGATAATTTAATTTTAGTTAATAAAAGCATTTTCTCCTACCTTTTAAATTTATAATAATTTAATCTGTAAATTTTAATACCTAGGCATTGAGTCTCTATATAATGAAAACAATATTATTGGAAGACTAAATCTTATTTTCGTAAAAGATGAGGGGACAACCAGATTGGTTTTAATTTTTGTTATAAAATACAATAGAAAAAGGCAAAAGGCTTGTGGAGTGGAGGTTGTCAATGGCTCAATGCAAAGAGTAAGTAAAGAAAGGCGGAAGGAGTCCCAAGCCTTTGGGTGTATGGCTAGGGCTGAATAAAATAGGAGTGAGATCCGAATCAATAAATATGAATTCTGGTTGCTTCACAACTTTATCTCCCTTCTCCCTCTCTCTGTCTACCCACTTGCAGAAGAGGACACCTTAAGAGCGGGTTCCATTTATGTCTTTTCGCTCTCCTAACCCTCTGTTTCATCTTCCTCACAGCTCTTATGTTTTGGTTGATCCAGGTTTCGTCTTCCAAGGAATTTCCCCAAAAGGTACGAATCTTATCAACTCCTTCTCTTGCCTTCTTCCTCCTATTATCATTACAATTTTTAATCTTCCTTTCTCCGGTTCTCAAGAATTTTCAATTTCTATTCTTCATTTGGGAGTTTCCGTTTCTGTTAGTCTAAATCTGTCATTTCCTTTTGATCCTTCCTTCCTCAGGATATCTTCTTTGCTTGCTCTTGTTCCGTTAGGTGAAACATAAATTTGGAGAAGAGAGATTGGATCATTGGTCCATCTTTGAATCATCGATTTGTTGAGGGTAACCAATTTTTGTTTTTATTTTTTTTTGAGATCGGATCGGTGCGTCTTGATGGCGTCATCTGTTCTTTCCAACTCCGATCGCATGCGGGAGTCTTCAAGGAAGCAAAAGAAGAAGAAAAACCACGGCAACAGAGACCGTCATCAAAACCAGAACCATATTAACTGGAAATCTCAAGCTCAGAAAGAAATTTACTCGTCTAAGCTGGTACGAGCGTTGAATCAAGTGAGGCTCAGTCCTTCGAATGAGGCGCCCCGCCGTGGTAGAGCCGTACGCGAGGCCGCCGACAGAATCCTTGCCGTCGCCGCCAAGGGGAGAACCAGGTGGAGCCGAGCCATTCTAACGAACAGGTTGAAGCTCAAGTTCAGGAAGCCGAAGAAACAGAGAGCATCCACCGCTGGAATCAACCGCCCAAAGAAACCTAGAGTCAGCGTATTGCGGTTGAAAGGAAAAACGTTGCCGGCGGTGCAAAGGAAAGTTAGGGTTCTTGGACGGCTAGTTCCCGGTTGCCGGAAAGAACCTTTGCCGGTTATCCTAGAAGAGGCCACCGATTACATAGCTGCACTTGAAATGCAAGTTCGAGCTATGACTGCCCTCGCCGAGTTGCTCTCGGCCTCAACTTCTGTTGCAGGCTCTAGCTCCGCTCCTCCAAGCTGATGCCTCGCTTTTCCACCGGTGTTTTTCTTCGCCCCCCACCCCACCCATTTCTCTGCTTCTCGTATCTTTGCTTTCCTTGCCCTTACGCAAGTGAAGTAATTGTCTGTTAAATATGGTTGCTGCTGTTTTCTTCTCCTTCCCCTTCATATTCTTTTTTTCCCCTCTTTACTCTTCTCCTCTTGAATAACTTCTTTGGAATCCTATTCCCGACAAGAAGAAAATGGAAAAGGAACTTGGAATCCGTACATATTATGTGCTGTAGCCCTCGGCCTCGGTTTGTCTGCTGTTTTGCAATTACTTTGTGGATTCATTAACCCTCTTAACAGCACTCTTGATTCTGCAAAGTCGATGAGAAGAAAAAACACATTTTTTATGAATCTTAGGCAAGTGTTCACTTGATCAGGGAAAAAGAAGAGGGCCTTAGCTGGTGAGGGAGGGAGGGACGTATTTGAATTTGGAAACTGAATGTTAATTTATCTGAGAAATTGGCTTCATTTATGTTGTTGTTGTTCACAAGAGTGTAGTCTATTCTGAGGTCCAGGATATCCAGCTTAGATTAACTTCTTTTCTACTACTCCACCCTCTAATTATTACAGTTTTTTGTTTGTTGTCTGTCTTGTGTCGGTTTTTTTTCTGAAATGGATAAGGCCGAAACTCCAGTGGGGCAAAAGCAGGCAGAGGAAGAGGAGAGTGGTGGGAAAGGTGTGTGAGTTTAGCAAAGCGCGCTGTGGGGCTGTGTGGGGCTGGGCTGGAGGGGGGGAGGGGGCTGTGGCTATCATGTGGGTTAGAACAGTGACAGCCCTAGATCTTTGGGGCATCCATGTGTGTGAGTGATTTGATTTATAAATGTAGATGTATTTAGTGTGTGAGGCAATTCTAGGTTCACCTGCGCTCCTAAATATCCAAAAGGAGGACTTTGTTGGTACAGCTCACTCTTAGTGGTCTGCCACTTCCTCAGCTGTGCGCTGGCTGGCACATGTCCTTCCACATGCCTTGCTCTGCTCCCAATTCTCTCACTTCTCTTTCCCTTTCATTGTCATTTGGATTTCTAACTTTCAGCACTCCCTTTGAGCCCCACTTCCTCACTTTGGAACAACAGCACACCTCTCTATCTTTTTCCATACATTCACTATTTTAAGCTTCCTTCCACTGTGATTTTTCTTTTGAATTTTACTTCAGAATTATTACTCTTCATTCACGATTGATGATGTGAGATTATGTTCACATTTTTACGTTATTTTTCTTTTAAATTTCTTCTATTTTGATGCGATGGTCTTTTATATTATAATTCATATGAAATTATGGTGTTTACTTACATTCTTTGGATATGAAAGGACTTAGCAGAGGGGGTGGGTGTTTTCTATTTTTTTTTTTTTATAATTATATTAATATTTTAAATGCCATATTGTAAAAAAATAAAAATTTATTGTTCTGAAGCATACATTTAAAATTTGAAATTTGAAGGGAAATAATTAAAATAATAATATTAATATAGTAAAATGGGTAGTGGGAGAAGTGTGATGTAGATGGGGCATTTATTTAATTGTTGATGGCCAAAGGAGATGAACATTAAAGAAGAAAAAAAAAATAATAAATGAAAGGCTTTATTTAGCATTGAATGAATAAAATTCAGTGATAATTACAAGTAGTTTGGTGGCAACTCATAAAAGAGCCCCAAAAATAAAATGCCTTTTAAATTAGAAAGGAAGATGTGGATGAGGCATATCATGTTCTCACATTCTTTGAATTTCGTCTCTTTCATATATATATATATTTTAAATAGTAAGCCGACACAAAGAAGAATGATTCTAATCCCAATCAACACATTTTAAAATTATTTTGCACATAAACACACTGCATTATTGATTTTATATTATAATTTAAGTATAATTAGTTGGTTAAAATTACATATTATCGACGTGTAAAGCCGTATGACGTGGCACTCTTGCAAATTAAGAATTGGATTTAATTAATGGGCCGACTTTTAGAACCCATATTAGTGGAGTTTGATTATGGACTTCAAGATCATATTAAGTTGGGCCGGTAATATCTTTTCAAGTCGGGCCATTAATTCTCGTTATCTCTAATTTAGATTGAGCCCATATGAGTGTATGGACCCCAGGCCCAATGGGCCGTTTTAAAGAAAATAATGCCCAAATGGCCCACTGGGCTTCCCAGGCTTGTTTTCCGGCCCACGTAGTACTTGATTGTTTATTATTAATATTATTATTTCTGCTTCCCTCCTTTCTCTGACAGCGCGGGATTCCTTCCTCTTGTCCTTCCGAGTCTGACTCCATCTTCCCTTCGCCTCGCTCAAACCCGAAGTACCGACCGCTTAGATTTTGGAATTTTGCTTCACTTTTCTACAATCACTCTCCCTAAGACGACTTCACAAATTTGGGCTTTCCATTTCTCACTTCGGCAAAGCTGGATAGGCACAGAGGAGACCGCTATGGCCCCGACCAAGATTCCCACCCTTATCGTCCCTCTGCAGCTCCTTCTCGCTTCAGCGACTCCCCCGTGAACCACCATGACAGTCGCCGAAGTCCCAATAAGTTCAGCGGCGCCGTTGGTGGTGGCGGTGGTCACCGTCGGCCTTTCGACAGCCCACCGCGCTACTCTACTTCCGGTGGAGCTGCTGATTTTCGTCCAATGGGCACTGCCGGGGGATTCCGTCCAATTCCCGGTACTGGCGGTGGCTTTGGGTCCAATTTCCAGCCGCCACCTGTTGCTGGGCAGAAACGGGGGTATCCTTTCTCCGGCCGTGGAAGTTCTCCAGGTAAGATTTTGGTGGATTAATTTAATTGCAGTCTCTTTCTTTTTTCCTTGCTAAGAGCTCTAGGTAATTCTTTTTCAATTCTTTTCTTGTCAGACTTCGCTTTCTTAGTTCTATTTACTTATTGTGCTTTGGTCAGTTCTATCAAATTCTGAACATTCTTTGCCTGCAATTATGTCGTTATCGACTATCTCTATGTGGTATAAACTTCATACAAGGTTTGAATTATGTAGTTGAAAAGGAACTTTAGTATCGATGTGTAGTTCTTTGGATTGCCTCTATCCCGATTGGCCCCCAATAGAGGGGAAAAAGAAAAAGGAAGCTTCATGCAAATGTTAGCCATCGATGGGCCGGTTTTCTCTCTAGAATCTATCGTTATATTGTGTTAACTTTTAGTCATCCTAATTCAGTTTTTCACAAGATGCTTTGAGCTTTATGCGTGCGATGATTTAATCATTAAATCACGTGTGTTGATAATTGATAAATATTGAGATGGGATGCGAACACTCAGAAAAATGTTTTACCCGCGTTGTACAATGTTTATTGAGGTTCATATATTTATGAGAAGAAACATAGACTCTCATTAAGAGGTTGATTGGTTTTAAATTTCTGAGTGATCAATATGTGAGATATTTTTAGTTTAGTTCTTATATTTTCATAGCGCATCTTCGCTAATCTTGCATCTGGCTAATGTCACCATTTTCTGTCTTCAGATCATCAGGACGGAAGCAGTTTTGCCAAGCTGTTTGTTGGATCTGTTCCAAGGACAATTACAGAAGAAGATGTAAGCTTTTGTGTTCTTTATGTTTGTTAAAAGGTCATGTAGTAAATTCTCCCAACTGTTTTCACTGCATTTCTCATTGAAGCAATACGTGTCCTACAATATCTTATGATATGGTAAGTCTGAATGCATGTCTAGAGATGACAAAATGTTTTCACTTTCTTTTGAAACAAGAGACAAAGTTTTCATTGAGATGTAATGGTATGATGGAGGAAGCTGTTTTTCACCGTCCATTTTCTGGACAAATGTCTTCTGTGTCAAGGTAGTTTTTGCACTATCTTTCTTAGGACATATGGTTTGAGAGAAATAGGAGGATTGGAGAGAGTAAGGGTTCTTGGAAAAGTGTGTATAGGTCACTTTAATGCTATGTTTGGGGTCATGTAACCAAGTGTTTTTGTGGATACCCTTTGTTTATGATCACTATCTCCTGGAGCCATTGTAATTTATTAATGGCTTCATTTAGTGGTCTTGGTATGCCCTTTTAAATGACCTTCATTTGGTTTTATTTTGATTTTCGTTCACGTAAACATGTTTCTTAGCTAATTTTTTTTTTGCTTATTTGATGCCAGATTCGCCCATTGTTTGAAGAACATGGAAATGTAATCGAAGTAGCTTTGATAAAGGATAAGAGAACAGGCCAGCAACAAGGTAACCATAACTTCTGTTTTGTATGAATCACTTTTGGTTCATACGCATGTCATTTCAGGTTTTGAGAGGCTCGAAGAAATCGTGAGCTCGTCTCAGTTTGTTTGTGCAACAAGTTTGGTGCTTGTTGGTTTTGGTTGCGATCCTAACTTTTTGTCCATCATGTCAAACAAGAAGAAGACAAGGCATGTAAACCTGCTATAATATCAAGTTTTGTATGGCAGTGGAGCACAAAAGACCGTGCCTTGTGATAGTGGCTGACTAGCTGCAGCAATGAAGGATATATAACCCAAAAAGTTTTTTTTTTTTGTAATGGGAATGTCTGCTGCCAGCAGTTTAGCTTTTTTTTATGTCAGGATGTTTAATAGTTCAACAAATGTACAGAATTATTAATTTAGAAAATACACGTTTTTTAATAAAAAATTGATGTTAATATATTGTATGTTTGGAAGCATTGAATGTGTTTTTCTTATTGTGTTGAATGTGGTCTTTTTAAATGGTTTTTAACTTTGAATTGTGATTGATGTGGAATATAAAATGGCGATGGGTATGAAGTTGTATTGGCTTGTAGATTCAGAATGGATTTTGTGAGGTGTATGATTGTTGAATAGTTGAGTTCTATGATATTCACAGAATGAATGGATGAGTATCAAGATTTTCAGGCTGCCTGTATGTTTCTCTGAGTAGGTTAAGTCTATTATGGTACGGAGAACATGGTTTGGTTTGTTGCCTTCTTGATATATTATGATAAAACTATTGTTCCCTTTTTAATTATTTTCTGTCCCAAGCAGACTCTTTGGGAGTTCTTCTGCATCCTATAACTTTACCTTTCTGACCACTTGAAACTCATCCTCTTAGCCCACATTTCTCGTAGCTCAGTTGCTGAACTTGTCACTGTTGCTTATTTATGTGTTGCTTTGTAAAATTTGTCTTAGGAGGTTTTCGTTCTCGATTAATTTTATTGGGTTTGCGGTGTTTTCAAAGTTCACAAACCTGTGAATCCAGCCTAGACTTCAGCCTGGATGTTTATCTCCTGTAGTTTGAAGTTTTTGACTTTTCTTCAGCTTGCACAAGGAGATCCTGTGTCTTTGTTGGTTGTGACGTATGATTGTGCATTTTCTGGTCCATATAAATGTTTTTATTACTATTGTCGACACTACCCCGTGCAAATGTTGCATTGCGGCAGGATAAATCCTCACTGCCTTTTACTCTCTTTCTTTCTGGAAACTAGAAGTTCCAGAAATTTTTTCAAACGTATAAAGTTATAATATACAAAGGCCTAGATCTTAGGATTTTCAAAAACAATTCTCCTGGAGCTATAAAAGGAGGGTAATTAGTAAATCCTCACCGTAGAATTGATTGTAGCAAAATGATGCGGCTGTCAGTGCAACCATGTTGAGCTTCTGAGGATTCATTTTTATTGCAGTGGCATGTAAAGAGACATTTTTAGTATTTTGGATGTTCCGTGCTTAGTGTAGATTCAATATTTTTGTTGGATGAATAGTTGCACAAGCACCTGAATTTATACATTTGGAAGGCCACTCTATTTTGGATGATATTGTATCTTCCTGTTCAAGTTCTCTGCTTTAGTTGGTAGTAGGAGGCATTGTCATTGTCATTTCCAAACCTTCTGCAATTTTGTTATTTAAGGTCTTGATAAGGATAAATAATGAAGTTGTTTGAGTATATGGTTTCTGAGGGCTTTTACTTAACGTATTTCGTGGCTGCATGTAGCCTATGATCAACGTGCCTTCTGTGCTTACAGCAAGTTGTTTTATAGAGCGAGTGAATGCGACTAAATTTTCATGTATTTGTTGGAAGGTAGGCTGTTTGACCTCATAATTACTAGCTTATCCTATTAAATTTTAGTTTTAGTGCTGGGATACGATATTTTCTTCAAGTTTGTTCAAAGTGAGACATTGTCTCGGTAATGGAAGAATGATATTCATGACATGGAAATGTAAAAAATTTATCAATGGCCTCCAAGTGGAAAGCTTGTGGCTTCTTTATGCCATGATAATCATTCGATTCTGATGGTGGTGGTCCTAGTGAATATAGACAAGGATCACAATCTCAAAGATTATTTAGGCAGTCATAATGTCCACGTTAGCGTTTATGCTAGCGTATTCCTAATGCTCGACTCTGAGAACTTCTTGATAACGGGCTTTTGCAACACTTGAACTTTTCCCGTCTATTAGCTATTCTGTTGGGCATGAGATGGGTAACTAGTGGTTGCTTGTATGTTTCAAATCTTTTCCTGCGGGGGTTGTTGAGCGTGGAATATAGTCACCACCTTGTGCTTTCTATAGTTTCTCTCTACGGTTGGCCCTGTTTGTACTGAATGAATGGAATTAAAATTGTGTGCTTATATTCTCCAGATGCAATTTGTTATCTATTCAGTAGGTTATCTTTGAATCCTTATGAAATTTAAGGGGTTCTTGGTGTTCTTTACCAATATCTTCCTATGTGTTTCTATCCCTTTCTACTATATTTTCATGATTTTGTAGTCGATGTTATCGTTGGCCTTTCTGTAGATTGTAATGAAATGTTGAATGTGGATGTAGCATTAATTTTCCATGTGACAGTTGTAGCTTTTTCAGTGGCTAGATGTAAATGTCTGTCTACATGTCTGTTCACGCATAAGTGTAACACCATAAATACAAAGTTATGATCCAACGTAGTCAAATCAGAACAACCTTTACTCATGCAGGGTGTTGTTTTGTAAAATATACAACCTCAGAAGAAGCTGATAGAGCAATTAGGAATTTGCACAATCAACATACCCTTCCTGGGGTGAGTTTCCTCCCCAATTATTATTTATCTGTCTCGTATGCAATGCTACCATATTTTATTAAATATGTTTACAGGGATCAGGCCCGATTCAAGTTAGATATGCTGATGGAGAGCGAGAGCGCCTTGGTAATTGACTCTTGAATCTGGATTTTGTCTTTCATTTATTAACCTTCATCGATCTTTTTCTTCCATTTCCCCCTCTCTTTTTTGTGTTCTAGGGTGCGGGTGAGGGGGTTAAATTCTCGAGTCAGTAGTATTAGCCTCATTTTCTTTTGTAAAAAAAACTTTGATTGTTATGGTGGAGAAATTCAATTTTGAAAATGGGTTTGGATGAAAAGAAATTTGGACCGAGATATGAATTTCAATATGGACACCGGGTGATTGAAGTAGAATGCCAGAATGTTAATGGCGTGGTACCTCAAGCCTGCTTGAGTGAGAATAGTACTAAGTTGGGTGACCCCTTACGGAAGTCCTCGTGTTGCACCCCTTAATGATGTGGAGCCTCACTCTAAACAAACTTTTTTGAAACTGTTGTTTTGAGCATTACCACCTAGCTTTTATTTTTTAGTATCAAATCTTAAAGAACGATAATTAATCGATGTGGAATCAGGCATGTCTTCAACCACCTTCCCCACAAAGGGGAAATGTAGCTAGTTCCTTCAATTCTGCGTCGTCATATTTCCTTCTTGCCATCTTATGATAACTGCATATATGGGGACTTTTTGCTCCTTCAGGATCGAAATCGGTTGAATGGTGAATCTGTCTACAAAAGAACTTTCCATTTATGATTTGATTGATTCTTGTCATTACTTATTTTCTGTAGGTGCAGTTGAGTACAAATTGTTTGTTGGTTCCCTAAGTAAACAAGCTTCAGAAAAAGAAGTCAAGGAAGTATGTTATAACCGTATGGTTAAGCCTTTTTAATCTCAATATTACTATCACATGTTATCCGTTTCTACTTCTTTTCCTTTCTCTTTTTTGAGCCATCAAATTGATTATCAACGTTGGTTTTGTTGAGCTCTTTGAAACTAATTATCATCAGAGTTTTGGCCAAATGTATGGTGTCACTTAGTTTTTGGTTGTGGAGGCGTGTACGCCTTTATCTTCTTAGTGCTTTTACATGGAGTAAAATCATTTGGTTACTTCCACTATCTCTAGACATTAATATGTTTTTGTTCTCAGATCTTTTCTCAATATGGAGTAGTTGAAGATGTTTACCTTATGCGGGATGAAATGAGGCAAAGTCGTGGTATGCCTTTCAAATTTATTTGATCATGTTTTAAGCAATATTTTGACAGCTTGAAGTCGATAGATGCTTTTGTTCTTGTGTAATGTGGATGATGTATGTTATTTTATATTTAAATGTAAATGACTAAGATGTTCATTATCGGTTGACTATTATTTGACATGGGAAGGAATCATATTGGGATCATAATTACGAAAGAACCATGTGACCGATGCCCATAAAGAGGCATTAAACCTCATCAACTCTTGAACTCCCAAATCGTGTCACAGGACTGTCCTCTCTTCTCTTAGCTGATTTCCAAAGCCATTTGGCCAACAATACCTCATTTCTCTTAGCTGATTTCCAAGCTCCAAGTCTACCCCTTGCAATTGGCAGTGTAGCCAACCCCCCAAAATTACTCTTTGGAGAAAAATTTGTTGAGGAAAAAAGAATGTAGTTAATTGTATTGGATGAATAACTTCGCTCATCCTGTGATGGCAATATAACTTTAAGCATCTTCAGCTGTTCACTACTGTGTAATAGGCCGGTCAACTATCAGATCCAAAGCTTGTCATCACCATCGTTATTACTATCCCTACTATTATTTTGACTTTCCATGTGTGTCTAAGTCATGCAATTTTGAAGGATGTGGATTCGTGAAGTACTCTCATAGGGATATGGCACTGGCAGCTATAAATGCACTTAATGGAATCTATACAATGAGAGTAAGTCTATCTTTATAGAGTTTATGTTTCTTTTTTCTGCAGTATTTATTACTGAAGCCTATTACATGATGAATTTCCTTTACTACATATAGGGCTGTGATCAGCCATTAAGTGTTCGCTTTGCTGACCCGAAGAAGCCTAGATCTGGAGATTCAAGGTTTGATATGATGTGAGCCTTCATGATCAAATTTTGAAATTGAAAATAGGTTCTTTGAGGCCTTCCACCACCTTTATTTTCTTATTTCGCATTTTATTAAATCTTGGTTTGAACTTCGTTTTAGTGGGTATATTTAATGACTTGTTTTGTAATTTGGCCCTTGCTTCATTTATTGTTTCATGTATTCTACACCCATCCACTACTTTTTATCATTAATAATATTTATAAATCGAGTATCTTGCTTTTTCAGGGGCACTCCTGCATTCGGAGGTCCAGGTTTTGGTTCTCGTCTTCAAGCACCTGGGCCAAGGTATGGCCGTTGTTTTTTAGTGTTGTGCATAAATAGAAATCAGAACACCAAATTTTCATTGATCCAATTAGAAGCACCAAAACATAGTAAATCCCTACCAAGGAATAAAAATACACTCCAATTGGCATTGGCCGAAAATAATTATAATTGTAAAAGGATTTCAAAAGGGAGCTGCAGTTAGAGGTCACGAATTTAACGCATGTGGTAGCTGATATTTTCCCTTGAGCCATTTTTTGATAGTCATTGTTGAGGTCACTCCTTGCATTGTCTTAATGTTTTCTACTCGTGCTCTTGATTCTTCTGTGTTCTTAGCAGACCAATGTCTAATTTTGGTGAATTTATGGGTGATCGAATTCCAATTGATGTACGAGGTTTTAGGCCACCTGTTGATGCTGGTGTTCATACCTTTGGGGGTCAATTGCCTCCTAGGTCCAGTGAAATGGGATTACCTTTGAATTTGGTAATTTATTATTATCTTTTGACATGTAATTTTAAGGGTTGTTCATGTTGTGATTCATGCTTGGTATATTCTTTCATTTTCCTCCACTAAAGCTCAATTTTCACGTCTCTAACCTTTTTGTCGAAGATATATCCCTTAACTAGTTGAGTTATGCTTTAGTGTTGGTCATAGTAAGTGCGGTATTTGGTTTGACTTACCTGCTCTTTATCTAAGCCATTATGATGAAGCCATATTTTTTATGGGAGAACTCATAAGATATTAATATTTTATTAGGTGGCCTCAGAGTTTTGAACTTCCTCCTTTTATGATTGCTCAACCTTTAATAGTTTAACGTTCACGTTTATCTTGATGTTAGATAAGCCAACCTAATTGTTAATCAAAGAGCATTGGCACAATCATTTTACAGAACCTTTCCTGTATAATCCTTGTATTGGATATTGCCTTGTCTCTTTCTAGGTAAGAAACCTCATCTGTTGAACTTGAAAGCATGCTACAGAATGATATGATAGAATCTACCTAGGTGCAGCTGATATGTGTAATTAAGAGGCCTTTCGATTGGACATTATCAACATACAAGTACATGAAAAAATTCTTAATTTTGATGGCTTACTAAAAACCTGAAAATAAGTTTGCTTATAGACCTCCCCCACTAAAACCCTCCTCGAGGACGCTGAAAACATGAAAATAAGTTTCCTACTGGAGGGCACTGCTCTGTCTGGAAGTGCAATATTAAAGTTAATATGGTGTGTCTTTAGCTGCTTGCTTGGGTTCAGTTAATTGCATCTAATTGTTCTCCACAACTGATGATACTGAAAGGGATGATAAAATGTTTGGTCATCAAATCACTTGATGTTATGATCAAGTTTTGGACTGTTTTCAGTTATGAGTGACGAAATGAATCATCGGAGTCGTCATCGTGGATAATGTTTCTGTTTAATATTATAAATTATCTTTTCCTTTCTCTGGCCTCTTTTTTACCTCACATATGATTATACTCTTGAGAGGAAATCGGTGGGTAATGGATGTACTTTGCATATCTCTGTTAATGATCCATTCTTATTCTATTAACTAATTTGCTTGCAATGTTTTTTAGAGTGGTCCTGTTAGTAGGTTTAGAGGTCCCAACCAAGGGATAGTCAATCCTGGATCCTCAACTTCTCCACTGGTAATTTAACGCTGGTTTATGGTTTATGGTTTTAGGTTACCTGCTAGATTGTATCCTAGCCATTTCCGATGTTATCTAACCTCATCTTAATTTTATTAGAATTTTATTCAGCCAGCAAGCCAACATCCACCACTGGGCCTGCAAACGTCACCAGTGCTAAAGGCTTTTCAGTCACCGAAACAATTGCCACCTCCGAGTCAATTGCACTCTCATGCTCCGACCTCCTATTCTCAGACACATACATCTCCAGCATCAGTACAGCGGCATAGTCAACCGCCGAATTTTAATTCTTCTAGTCAAATGCCCTTTAGTCAGCCTGCACCTTCACAAGAGTCACCTGGCTTAGGTTCACAGTTGGCCGTATCTCAAGCTATGATCCAGCAGAGTGCCTCATCTGCTGCAGCCACACAGACTCCTCTGACTATGAACTTACAATCCCATGCTACTGCTCCTAACCAACAGCAGCTTCAGCCACGTCAGAGCTCACCTTCTCGGTTGGCTCACATGCTGTCACAGCAAAAACAAACCCTGCAGGCTAGTTTTCAGTCTTCCCAGCAGGCATTCTCTCAGATACAGCAGCAGTTGCAGCTGATACAACCATCAAGTCAAAGTTCAACATTGCAGCCAAGTTCCCAGACTATTAAGCAGCAGGTAGGCAATGAGTAATAGCAAGGGGGTTTCTCTATACTAATAGAATATGTTTGGATTTGTTGATGTGCATGAGACCATCAAACTTTTTGATCCCTCAATTTAAGGTTGGGCATTGAATATCTGTTGTTTTAAATGCCCTTGCAGTCTCACTGGGCGGGGGTTGTGCCACATACAGCTTCCAGTGCCACTTCTGCAGCTTCAGATACACGTTCATCTATGGGCCCTCTTGTAGCTATAAATACCCAACTTGTAGCTCCTCTAAAATGCAATTGGACAGAGCACACTTCTCCTGATGGTTACAAATACTATTACAACAGTGTAACCGGTGAGAGTAAGGTGAGTTTCTTTGAAGCTTCCATTTTCATAAAGATTTTGCTTTGATTTGTGTGGTTTATGCTCTCATGTGTAAAAACCTGCAGTGGGAGAAGCCTGAAGAGCTTTCGGCGATTGAGCATCAACCAAAGCCACCAGTACTGCAGCCCCATAACCAGCCACATCCTCAACTACTATCTGCCCAACAACTCTCTCAAACTCCGCAAGCCCAGCTTCAAGCTCAGTTCCAGACACGGATGCCCCACCCTCAGCCGCTACAGCAACCTTCATTCCATTCACAGGTCTGTCTTTTCTATTAGCAGTTTCAGTTTTCATTATTGCATTGAAAGTTCGGGCAATTGTTTATTCATTTGGGTTGGTTCACGACGGTGGACTTTTTGGATAATTTCACATCTTGGAATCTTATATGACTCCCACCTTGCATTTTCCTTTAGGGATACTTGGGGCTTATACACTATCACCACTATGACTTATTATTCAGTTGTTTATGTATTTTGTATGTAATTTATTCTGTTCTTATGCAGGAAGGTGCTTATACACAATTGCAGACAGTTAATAGCTCAGTAAATGATCCTACTCGCTTCCACCAGGTATGTTGTGCTTGTATTTTAATTCAGCCACTTCACTTTTCCCGAGTCAACTTCATGCAATTGGCTATGTACCTCAGGGACCTCAGGCGAATCAAGAGTGGGCATGGAAAAATAAATAATCAGCAGGTTGGTTTTCTAACTCCATTTGTGGTATATATTTGGCTTGTAAGAGTTCAACTCCACCGGGATTGGGATTAGGGCGAACAGAGTGATACATAGATGTGTTAAAAAAAATATTAATTAAGACGGTCAGACATTCTGTTATCCAATTAATTAGGTTTGGAAACTATACTCTTAAGCTCAAATGTATATTAGAAAATACAAATGAAAGCGTCATAGACTCCTATACCATCTAATTTATGGAATGTATGAATGGGCTTAATTATATAATTGAAAAGCCATGAAATAAGGAAGCGTCATGGATATGCATACTGTTAGACTAATGTTGGAGATGTTCTTTACTTAAGAAATAATGAATGGGTTGTTTTTAGATTTCCTTGGAGGTATTATGAATCACATAAGCTCCTTTACTATGGTAGAACTATTTGGTCTTCAGCTGGTGCATCTGCTATTTAAGTTTTGAAATGAAGAAACTAGGCCCCCTCTGCCTTGAAGCTCTGAGGCAGAGAGCAGCTTTGTAAGGTGCAGAAGCCACTGATGGGATGAGCGATGTTTCAATGGCGTTTGTGTTGGCTGCAAATTCTCTCGACGCATGGCCTTGTACGATCTATACATTGGGTTAGTTAATAACATACCGATATCGTTGTATCATATTGCTAAGATCTCTGTATTCCTCATAAACGTGTATGTACTTATAAATTAATCTCTCAGCATGTACTGTCTGTTCTTTTGTTTTGTTACATCTTAAAAACTGGAGTGGAAGAGGATTCGTGTACCTTCTTTTGTAGCTATGATTCATTCACTTGAAATACTAGTTGACAACAGTACCTTCTCCAATTCAGCAAGTTATCTAATCTTTTGTTCATTTTTTGGTGCTCTTAGATATTGAAATTTAACATAATCTAGCTTAGCTCGGAGTACGACAGTTAGTTCGGATCACGGTCTGTGTTCCAACGGGTGGTTTGAGGCTTCCCATTTTCACCATTGACTGCTTGAAGTCTTCAAAGAAAGCAATCGGGTCCACAGCATAAGTTTCTACTATTTCTCTAGTTTGGTGATCACTAGTTACAAGAACTTGATCAGACTGGAGCAACCCTTCTCCAGTGAGAAGATTGATGTAATACTGGTTGTCGAACATGACTGGGGTTACAAGGTCGAGATGTGCCAGTGTCGAGGTGTTACCAGATTCTGAGCAGAGCTGTTTTAGTGACTCGATGAACTCTTGGTTTGCTCCTTCGTTAGGGCTGTTCCCGTTATTCTGCAGCCTAGAACTGAATGAAACACATCGTGCTAGTCCCAGCGTGTGCGCCCCTTCATAGATAGTGAAACATTCAGTCGAAAAAGTGGTAAGAAAAGTCGAAGAAAGATGAGAACCGAACCAAATCACCTGAGAGAGCAACCATATCTCTGAGAGAAAGGCCAAGGTTCTGGAACTTGGAAACTAGAGTGGCCACAGTGGAGTTAGGCGCAGGAATGTTGTTTTGTGCTGCTGTTTTGCTGGCGCTCAGGCTGTCTCCTCTTCCAAATTCCACTTTCCACACAGGTCCTCCAGACTGCAAATTGTTTGGAAAAAACAGAAAAAACAGTATCAGAATAACGCCTTTTGTAACTCCTTTTAGAATTCTATGGTCGATAAACGCACAAGAACGACAGAGTCTCGGGCTGCAATTGCAAGAATGTCAGCACATGAAACTGTCTGTGGACAAACAGATTCGATCTCGGATTTTATGGCATCAATCACTTCGAACCCTCTGAGCGAGTTCGCATTTGGAGCTGCAGTTTTTTCACCGACAAAGTTGTCGTTATCGTCCAACAACACTGAAGCATCGCACCCCTACATGAAACACGTTCATATTCATTAGAGCTATCAATCCACTGAAAAACTAGGAAAAGCAATGACTTACGTTGACAAAGCAGTCATGGAAATGGAGTCGAAGCAGAGACGCTGCCATTCGAGGGTCCTCGGCAATGGCAGTTTTGACCCAATAGAAGATGATGGATTCTGCCTCGGGGCAGAAAGGGGGCGTGCCGAAGGGCATCTGGTTCTCATCCCCTCCTCCGTATGATGCTTTCATGTTCGCCGAAGTGATTGCAATAAGCTCGAACATTATTAGGCAAAGATGGAAGGCGAGATAGTTGGCCATTTTTGCATTCCAAAGGGAACTGAAATGGAGATGATGAGGGCGATGGGGGGAGATTCTGTTATATATACATGCATAAAGTAAGCAAGAAATCAACTGCTACATAACAAGTGAGACGTGAAGAGAGGTCTTTTTCACTTCAAACTCAAGTTTGCCAAAATAGGCATTAGGTAGGGCTAAGTACCAAGTGTTAGTTGGAGCACGGAAACACGAGTATAAGATTAGTCATTTGGCATGAGTATATCTTAACCGGTTGAACTATGTTTAAATTGTGTATTTGGCGGTAGAAAGTGGATTTGATAGAGGGAAGGATACGTAGCAGGTGTAGAGTGGATGATTTCAAAGCTCTGTTTTTTTCCAGCTGGTTTGTGACAGAGAACGGTTCATAACCACTTCAATTAAGGGCTCAACAACTCCACTTTTATTGGGTTCTAAATGTTTGGTTAAACTGATCACATGGTCAGCTGCAAAAGGTAGCTCGCTTGAATGAGAGCCTTTTTGGGCTTTTTTTAGTTTGTGATCTTCTGAATGAAGTGATGATCATCAATCTTCAAGGTCACTACTTCATTGCTTCTCTCAAATGGGCTCCCTTCAAATGTGCGAATCACCGGTCAACTTCTTCCATTTTAAAAATAATTAATTTTGGAAAGCTTTTTAAAATTTTTTTTTTTTACCTAAAGTATCCGTCAAATTTATCGAGTTTTAACTTATCCCATTATAAAGCAACCGCCTATGCATCACTTGTGTGGAATCCAAACTTGTTCGACTATACACTGTCTGTGCATGCATTTTCAATTGTCTGTGACACAACTGATTTGCCTCTATACTAGGTGAAGTTACTCGGCTCGACCTTGTCTCTACTTGGGGCCAAGGTCTCTCATGTGAGACGTTGCATCTCATCATGTTGTTCCCAATTAATATCTCCCATATGTTTTGACGTCATCCCAATTCACAAGGTGTCATCGGCCATTACAACTCACTTGGTCATGATAGAGAATGGGCCCATGTGTTCTTCGTAATATCGGAACATCCTGAACATCCTGAACATCTTAGTTCAATCGAGGCATTGGCCCTCCCATTCTCATGCCATGTTATTTACGGACTCCGTGCTGAATAACGGTGCATAATCCAACCTCTGACACTTGGGCTAGGGTGCAATATCGGCACACCTGTGCTGCCTCGGTACTATCTTCCAAAGACCCATTTCAAAGGAAGTCACTCGAGACACTTGTCTCACAACGCTCGCCCTCACTATGACACACGTATGTGCTATATGGGTAACTCGCTTAGGCCACAGGACCAAGGATGGTAGGGAGCTCACACCATGCCTCCTCTAAGGTACATTTTGAGGCATTTTCAATCCTCCTCGAATAGATGTCATTTCGGCGAACAGTCATACAGTGTCGTGAAGAGTCCATCTAGTATCCGATTGACACTAAATTTAGTGAGTAATCATATTTCATATAGACGGACTTGACTCTAGAATTGCATGCCCAAATTCCCTTCGAAACCCCGACCTTCAAAGTTAAAGCCCAAGGCCTTACCCGTACCTTCAACAAGCCTATCTTTGACACTCCTGTCTACTTGTGGCCCTTATCTTGCTTTTGCATCGTCTTCTCTTCAATACCCACTTCTCTAGAATTGCATGGCGGGATGAGCAAAACACGTGAAGGTTACAACTTACTCTCTTCATAGTATGGTTTAGATCACCTACTAACTGCTACGTTGTAACAGAAGCTAGACTTGAAAGCACATGAAGAGGAGGTGTTGTGTGTCGTACTTCGAAGTAATGTAGGAGAATCATCTTTTCTCGAAAAGTACTCTCGATCCATGCACACGTGTTTTGGTGCATTTAATTGGTTGAAGTGTTTAGAGTTTGTATTTTCACAACCACTCCCCTCCTCCCTTGTCGGTTTCTACCCCACACTCAAAAACTAGCATCCAACCTCCCATTCCAAAATTCACTCTCTTCCTACCCTTGATACTTTCAAAACCCTAACCCTAAACCCTAAACCCTAACCCTAACCCTAAAATTAAAAACCCATAGCTCAAACAAACCACAAATTAACACATTTAAACGTTATCTACCAACAAGAAGAAGAACTAACTAAATAAATAAATAAATAAAGCTACTTAATTTAATTATATAATATTATACAGTGATGGGGATTGTGTGAATGATGAAAGAAAAGCTCATGAATTTTTAAAATATAAGAAGACGGAAAAAAAATTATTTATTTTTACTCTTCTTTGGGGATGTGTAAGGAGGAGGAGGAGGAGGAGGGTACGATCATATCTTGCAGAAGCCCATGGTCTTTGAAGGAAGCAGAACTAGGAGAGGATCCACCAATACGACGCCGTTCTTCTCCAAAACAATGGAACATCGGTTCGAATCCTCCGCACGTGACAAGCTCCATAGGCGGCGGCGGTGGCGGAGTGTAGGTGTAGGTGTATTGTTGGTGTTGGAAAAGAAGGGGCGGTGGATGGAGGGCGGCGGAGGTGGAAATTGATGGTGAGAGGGATCCACGTGGCAAGATGGGGCTTTGATGATTGTGTTGACCTTCGTAAGTGGTGACGACGACGGAAGGGTCGTGGGAGGATCGTTCGACTCGCTTTTTGACGCCGCAGCCGGCGGTGGTGCAGCGGTAATAGCTTCTTGGGTAAGGGCTGTTTTTAACGGCTTTCTGACCGTACTTCCGCCACCTGTAACCGTCGTCCAGATGATCCATTTCGGTCTTGGTCATGAACGCAAATCTGGGTTGTGTAGCCCTTTTTTTGTTCTTGTTTTTGGGTTTCAACCTAACCACCAAATATCACAAAAAATCAACAAAAATTAAGAACAACCCGACTCCATGTGGTATGATATTATCAACAAAAATGTTTCATACCAATGAAGTAATATTCCTTGATTATAAACTCATGATCATTTAGTCGTGGTAGAACTTTCATCCAACAAGATTAAGAAGGCTTACTTGTGTTGGTTGAAAGGATCCAGGTCGCCGGCGTCGGAGGAGGAAGAGAGGGAGGAGGAATTAGGAGTTGAAGGAATATTAAGAAGGCGGTCGGAGGAGGAGGAGGAGGGCGGCCGGGGCGGAGGGGTGGTAGCTGCAGAGAAGAGATCAAATAAGTCGAACAAGGTGGAGGGCTTAAAGGAAGACGAGTCCATTGGGAACTCCAACATGCAACTAGGAATCTCATCTTTCATATCTATATATATATATATATATATATATTATTAGTGATTTGGTCGAAGCAAATGAGTCAACTAAAAAAGCAGCTAGGTAGCTGCTAAGGGACACCCATTGTCGGCATCCACAACATGTTGCTTGCCCTCCAAGCCTCTAAATCTCGCAGATTCTCGATCCAATTAGCCCATAGCTAAGTTTATAAATACCTCATCGTTATCTAGTCACATCTAACTTTTTTGTTATTACAAGTCTAATTTTTACATTGTTTAAAGCTATGAAATGTACTAATTTAACTTAGTATATAGTTGAATATGAAAGAGAAAGGAATATGACGTGCTTCAATATATTTTACTATTACAAGATCTGAAACTATAGTATAAATATATATACATAAATATAAGCTGTATTATAAGACATTGAACGAATCACTTGTCATTTTTATGTGTGTAGATGCTTTCAAATGATATGCAGATTTGTGGAATTCAACTATTTA